ATATTCTGGTGTATTTCAGATAGAAATTATATAGTTTGGAATGTTTAATAATTGCTTGATTTTTTAAAATTTTCTTAAAAGTGACCATTTTCTTAATTTTAAGAAATCTTTTAATCAAAACAAATATATCGATTTCTAAAAGCTTCCAAAATTGAATTATATATTTATAACATGTAATTTGAGTAAAATTAGAAAATTAATGTTAAATCAATCCGATTTGAAAGAAATATTACTTACTTATAGCATAAAAAAACCAATATACAAGAATTTCTTAACAATGGTCCCCGTCTTTCTTTTATCTTTATTGACGTATCGACTATATCTCAAGGTGATGATAACTCTTATGGATGACCAGAAATGACATAAATAATATTGTAATACAAGATATTGGTCAATAAAAATTATTATTACTATAATTATTATTACTATTATTATTATTATAATTGTAGAAAAATTTATTTGCATCAAATTAGTTTTCATTTTAAGCTTAATCATATAATATTTCTTTGATTATTAAAACCTAAAAATTTTTATTAGTGAAAGATAGGATATTGTTGTTTTATGTCAAATAGCTATTAAGGGGTACCACCAAGAAAAAAAAGAAAGGAAAAGGGGGCCATGGGTAAAAAAGGTTGAGAACCACTGATGTAGATAAAGTCAAAACCCATCAGTGGCTGAAGAGGATAAAAGTAGAAACGGATGTATTTATAATGGCTGCACTGGACCAAAGCATATTCACTAGGAATTACCAAGGAAACATATTCAAGAATGACACAGACCCACTGTGGAGATTATGTGAATAACATGAGACTATTGACAGGAAGTTGTGATGAACCAAGAACATTCATGTCCTGAAGGGACACGGCACAAAGAAGAAGAAGAAGAAGAAAAAGAAAGCTATCACTTTGAATGCTGATTTTCTAGGCAGACGCGCTTTCCCACAAGAATAATTGGCGTTGCATAATCTTTCTTCCTTAAGATCAGCCAATTTGATCTTGTGTCATACTAAGCTGAGTAAATGCCTTGGAACACATTGTACCATTTGGTTCTAGCCCATATGAAAAACCCAAGCATTTTAAACTGCTGATCTTCTAAACAAACCATCTCACTTGTAAGATTGGTGAAATATAATCCTTCTACTCTCAATTCTGCTCATTTGACCTTGTGACGTGCTAATTTAAACTTAGTGTCTTTAAACGCAAAGGTAGGTAACAAAATGGTGGATGTATGTCTGGTTGGTTAGAAGTTTAACATACCGACCATAAGATCCGGTTTCGAATCTCATCATTTGTCAGGGTGGCGAATTTTTGATAATATCGACCTGGGGAAACGATCACAGCGTAAGACACTGTTGGAAAATGTCTGAAAGCCACAACTCGAATTGATTCAAGTCTTGTTATTGAAACTGAGTAGAAGAAACTATTCAAAAACCATCGATGGCTGTGCTTGCACGAAGTCACAAGTCATCGTGACTGAGGGTTTCAGTGTACTGACCTTGTTCAAAATGTTTTTCGCATCAGATTATGTGCACTCTCTCACAGATACTGTATAAATATAAACTACGTAGGTCTGTGGGTGTTGAAGAAACAGAAACATGCCTGAGTAAATGTCTGAAACAAGGATTATCTAGTCGCTCTAGTAAACGAGTAAACACGAATACGTAGGAAAATCGCAATATTTTCACGTTTTTTTTATTATAAAAGTTTTTAGTCCATGGTTTTGAGCTTTTAATTTCAAGATTAGATCTGTCCTATTATCGTTATTGTTATTATTATTGTCGTTATTATCTTGTGGTTGTTATGATATGTTGTTACGATCTTTCAACAGGTACAAGCCCAAAAAGAAACCATAAAAGGAAATCACTTTTACACCATTGACCTCGTCTTTTGTTAAATCACCAATCGAAATTAAGACATTGACAAAAAGTTAGGAAATAAGAAATAACATAGTATCAGCTAACAGCGGTTCAGATGCGGAAAACCGGTTGTGTGTGTGTGTGTGTGTGTGTGTGTGTGTGTGTGTGTGTGTGTGTGTGTTTGTGTGTGAATATATCCGTGCGTTACTACGTCTATGTGTATCCATTGGTCACGACTGAACGACTCAGTGTTACTATATAGGTGGGCGTCATATTTTTTTTTAAAAACAACTTTAGTTTGCAGTCAGAGTTCAGTCGTCGATTACCATTAAGAGAGTCACACCATGTCTCAGGTAAGCTCCGTGTATTTACTATACTTACTTAACTTGTCGCAGTAGTTGTACCGTGCGATTCAGGTAGATTTTCTTTTCTTTCGTCTTTTTCCTACTGGTTTAAACCACTGGTTGATTGAATTAAGGTGTTGCTTTTAAGTATCTCTTAAACACTGCGTTTCTTGCTACAGCTTTTAAACGTGAAGGCGATGATCGCTACTTTTATATGGTTAAACCCTTATATGTAACATAATCATTATGTCATATTTACAATGCAATATTGTTTACAAGAAGGTATAGATAGATAGATAGATAGATAGATAGATAGATAGATAGATAGATAGATAGATATTTTCATTTAAGTAACTTCTTTGTGTTATGTCCCTTCAGGACGTAGGCAATCATGTCCCTCCACAATTTC